TGCGGCTGGAAGAGGCTTCCCGGAGCTCATGACGGCCGCCAAGTTCCTGCTGATGCGCTCGGTGATTGACATCTGCCAGGAGGTCATCAAGCAGTCCAACGTGCAGCTCCTCGTGCCCCCCGCGCGCCCTGACATTATGCTGTTCCGTCCGGGGGCTGCCGACCTCGGCTTCCCTCTTGACATGACCAACGGTGCCGCTTTGGCGCCCAATGGCAACGGCATCGCCGGCATGCCCGAAGACGAGGCCACGCGGGCCGCGCTCAGCGCCGCTCAGTCCTCCCTGCCCGTGCTGCAGGGCGTGGACCGCCTGCCCATGGTGGCAGGACCTCTGTCCCCACCGCTGCTGGCCTCGCCCTTCCAGAACGTTGCTGCTAGTGCCCCCACTTTAAGCACCAAGAGGGGCAGAGGGCGTCCCCGCAAAGCCAACCTCTTGGACTCCATGATGTTTGGTACCCCGGGGGGCCTTCGAGAGGCCGGTATCCTGCCTTGTGGCCTCTGCGGGAAAGTGTTTACGGATGCTAATCGTCTTCGGCAGCACGAGGCTCAACATGGGGTGACGAGCTTACAGCTGGGCTACATAGACATCCCACCCCCCAGACTGGGTGAAAATGGTGTCCCCGGTCAGGATGACCCCGACGCACCCCGGAAAAGAAGCAGGACGAGGAAACAGGTGGCCTGTGAGATCTGTGGCAAGATTTTTCGGGACGTGTACCACCTGAATCGGCACAAGCTGTCGCACTCTGGCGAGAAGCCGTACTCTTGTCCAGTGTGTGGCTTGCGGTTCAAGCGGAAAGACAGGATGTCCTATCATGTTCGATCTCACGATGGCTCTGTGGGAAAGCCCTACATCTGCCAGAGCTGTGGAAAAGGCTTTTCCAGGTAAGAGAGTGCTTGTAAGGACCACAGACACCAATGGAGACCTAGGAAGTTGTCTTTCCTGTCCCTTGGGATATGTACTTAGGATAGTTTGACCGTTCCATTTTAAAATGTCTCGAGAAGTGGGACTTCCATCATTTCCTCTGGGACGCTATTCTGCAGTCTCCTGAAAGGGTTTAAAAGTAATTAAGACATAGAACTGGGAGTCAGTTGGCTTCTGGGGAACATTCCCAGCTTTATCCCAGACTTGGTGTGAGTGTGTCCTTGGGCAAACGAGTCTCTCCCTCAAATGACTCTTCTGTGAAATGGGTATTGAAATAATTACCTGCCTCACAGAAGTGCCTGGAGACCACTGATTTGTAGGTAGTTTGAAGGTGCTGTTGAAGTGCAAAATAATACATCTCAAGATTATTATTTTTCTCGTATCCATTTTAAATTTTCTTTTTCTTAACTTCCCTTCATTTCTCTTAGTTCGTAATGTTTTTTATCACCCAAATGTGAAGGAAGAGGTGAGATTTCAAAGGCTGCAGCATCAAGTATCTTTTATTACATGATCTTTGTGTCCTTTGGGTTTACATCCTTCTGAAGGGGATCCTGTTTCTGCCCTGCAACATACGTAAGATCTGTGCATTTAATGTTGCTGATTTTCTGTTGTCGCTGTTTGTGGGAGCTAATTTAATGAGTAGTTTGGTACACGTAGTTGTGTTAGTGGTATCTTATAGTCTGAGTTAATGAATTTGAAACTCTTTTGGAAGTTTGCTGCTCGCTTTGAGATTAGAAGTAGTGGGGGGGAGGGGGATGCATACACTCTTATTACTTCTGTACCAGCAGTCAGTTTTCTACAGCAGTTGCCTTGCTCTAACAGGAGGGAAGGAATCAAGATATGAAAACAAATCAAAAGGCCACTAGGCTATATAAACTGTGGAATTGCGCCCCTGCAAATTGTGGAATTCTGCCCCCGCTAGCTCTCTTTTTGATAGAGGGACTTTTTGTTAGAGGGACTTTTTGTTATTGAAATAAATGATGAAAATGTAGCCATCCTACCCTCCCTTTTTTTTTTTAATTGGCAATAATTAGGGATGCATCGCCATAAGGACTGCAGATTTAGTGATGGAGAGTCACAAAATGAAAATTTCATCCGTGGCTCGAAGTGAAAGTATTTTTCTTTTTATAGCGCTACCTGGCATCGTGTACCAATTTTTATTGTTTTTATTGACACTCAGAGATTTCTGCTGTTGCTGTATGAAACGTTTTTGTCATCAAGGGAGACATACGTGTTGAGCTCTCATTGTTCCCAGTAAGTTAATGTGAACAGGCAGGAATGCTGTTACAAAAGTAAACAACAAAAGTGTTTGCATATCTTTGTAAAATCGCGGTATGAATGAAACTACAGACTTTAGGTTTCAGTCCTCAGTCTGAGGAGCAGCCACAGGAGGCTGGAAGCGTGATGTCTAATTTTAGTCTCCTTTCCTTTATTCGGTAGCGCAGCACGTGAGGTGGCTGGGCTGGGGGTAGGCTGAAGGACCCCAACCAGTCTGTCCGGTTACACCACTCCAGCCCCTCGCTGGAGCATCGGGTTTAGGAGCCTCACTGCAAAGTTCAGCCTATTTTCTGCCTGCAGTGCGTGAATTCCATCCCGCGCCCTCTCATTGGCGCAGCTGCGAAGCTGGGGGAGGAGAGGGTGGGGAACTTGTTTCCAAGCAGTTTTGGCCTCATACAATGAAAAGCTTTCTTTCCACTAGGAGAAACTCCCACCAGGAAAATCTGCAGCTCTTCAGTCCTTTCTTCTTCAAAGTAGGCTTTGCTGGTTGTGAAAAATAGTCTTTTTTCAGTAATAATTTGCTCTTCCATTGCACCTTCTAGTTGGGACCTTCAGAGCACTTTATTTGTATCAATGCAGTCTCCCCACTAAGTTGTGAGTTAGGACAGTATTTTTTCATCTTTAAGGTGGAAAATGTGTTACAGCAACAGAGTTTAGGGTCAGTCTTTTTGCACAGAGATACTTAAAGTTGGCTTTTTATATCCATGTTTGGGACATAAACCAAAAAGGTCTGATTTTCAAATATTCAGCCACTGTAAATCAAAGCATCCTGATTGTCAGGATCTAAATAGGATTTTGGAAGGGGACATGCAGGCTTGAAAAACTGTAACTCATATTTCCCTTTTTCTCTCATCATTCAGTCATAATTTCTTCCTGAGAAAATGCTGCCTTTTTAGCAAGTTGGAGAGGGTACATAACAAGGTAGAATCCCAGTTGTTGGTGATCTGGTTCTTGGAAAGTCAAATATCACTATATTTGTAATAGATCCAGCACTGGGATTTTTTTTTTCTTTGGTTAAAATTGTAAGTTTATTTTTAGTATTTGTTTTAAGTGTGCTTATGTGTATTTTCCTTTAAGGCCAGACCACTTGAATGGACACATCAAACAGGTGCATACCTCAGAGAGACCTCACAAGTGTCAGGTAGGAGCCAGAGGGGTTTAGACTGATGTGTGGGTGATCTTTGGCATTGGATTTATGTGTGCAGACAATTCTGAAGTACCAGTAAAGACACCATGTGTGTGTGAGTTGGGCTAAATGTTTGTGAAGAACAATGTTCCAGTGACAGCTGCTTTACATCCCTCCCCTCCCCTCCTTTTCTGTCCCAGCCCAGCCCAGCCCCTGTGTCATCTACAGCTTTGGTCCTCCTGCTTCCTTCCCCTTCTTCCCCTTCCCTCCTGCTCTGTCCCAGTCTCACCCTGGATCTCTTGCTCAGCCACCTGGGCTTGGAGTCAGTGGCACTGATGATTCCTTCCCCTCCCCTCCCCTTTTTTTAACTGCAGTTGTTGCCATTAGGAGGCTCCAATGCCAACTACATTTTTTTTAGAATAATTTCAAACAAAAATAATATATTATAATTATCATAACTTGTCAAGATACCCATTTTTTTAACTCACATAGCCTTCAGAACATTGCACTGAGCAAAATTGGAAGCTGTTTTTTATCCCAGGGTGAATATAAACAACAGCATCACAATATCCTTTGTCATGCAAGGTCACAATGCTGTATATAGTTTTTTGCAGTTAATAAATTATTTGTTAGGGTTTGAAAGATCAAATGAAGGGATATATTTTGTAATTAATTTATAGAGAGATTTAAAAGGTGCATGGAAGTATCAGTTAAAACCAAAGCTGAGAATCAGCTCCACTATTATACACTGCATTCACATAGATGTTGGGCAAATTTCTATAACATATCCTGGGCTAAGAGTCTCCATGCTTGGTTTCTGCAGAGAGATTTATTTAATACTTATTTGAAGAAGTTGGAGCAAGATTATTTTCTTTTTCTTTGAGGACAAGGATTTTTTCTCCTAAAATATTCACCCACATTTTATGAACTCAGTCAATCCTACATGACTGCTGCCTCCCAATCTGCATTTTTGCACATTTTGATACATCTCTCCTATGTTTCTTTAAATTGTGAGAGTTTTGAAACATTTTGCAATTTTAATAATCTAGTGAACAGTTCTCCAAATAGCTGGAGCCATCTGAAGGTTTCTGTTGACATCCATATGATCTGTGGAAGCCCAGCACCTTTGAAAGTCAGGCCACAGAGCCATCACATTGATTGAACTGTATGTCCTATATAAAGCTTTAGATTGGTTTAAGCTTCTTAAGATGATTTAGGCTTTATAGATTTATACAAATTGGAAAATTCCACTCATAAAAAGACTTGCCAATCTGGGGACAGCAAGGGGTCTGGGTGGATGAAGACAACCACAGATTTTTTCCATAACCATGTATTTGTCCACAAGTACAAAAATGAATGTTTAGTCCCAACATGAACAGAAACTCCTCAGTCTTTTGCCAGTTGCTACCAAGGTGACTGAATGGACACAGTTTATGAATAACACTGATAGAAGTGAATTATCCTTTGCCAGCTGATGCCTGATAATTTTTTTATAGTTTCTGATTGATTTAAGTGTATTAAATATAAACTCTGTGTGAATCAGAGGAGACACTAAGAGTTAGAAAGAAAAGAAATGTGGAAGCTAAGATTGTACAGCCAAGCTCAACCCCTTCTCCTTGCACACATGTATTTTGTGACAGCAGTTTCTAAGAACAGTCTCATCATGTGTTGTCTGAAGTGCCATAACACTGCATGCATTGTCCATCTCAGTTAAAAGGCATAGGCTACAGGATACAAGCATCAGGGCAGAGCTGAGATTGTCCTCCAGGCTTGGTTTGTTCTTGATTTTTGACTGCTTAACCCTGCAGAGTTAATTTTTTATGAATCTTAAGGTATAGAAAATTTGTTAATGACCTCGTGTGTGTCTTTGCAAAAACTACTTGGTAATGTGCTGTCAGATTTAGAAAGTCTTCTTAAACATGCACAGATCTGCTGTACATGGTACAAACACAGAGGGGGTGCTGTCACACTGAACATTTGTTTCAAACATGAAAGCTGAGGTATAAATTGATAAAGTTCTTGTGATTATCTCATAGCCAGTTATGCTTCTGTTCTGGATGTGTATCTAAACACAGGATCTGACCACAAAGAAGGAAAATAGCTTCATATTGGCATGTTGTTTGCCCATTTTCCATTCCTTTTTTCCATGGATTTTATTTGGCAAATGAGCTCCCCATGAGAGCAGCCTGAACAGCATCGAGCATCCTTTTTGAATCTGTTGAGTTCCCGCTGAACATTCCTGTTATTGTCATGCTTTGTTTATGTTTACTGAAAAAGAGAATTACTCTGTCAGTAAACAGAAGAGCATTCCAGAATCCTCTATTGCAATGGCATTTTTGGAATTTGTGCTCTGATTTAAACAAAATCCACCAGCCCTTTACCTGAGCCCTCATGTATCTTTGCAAACCAACAGATATCTGTGTTTTGTTGATGTGGCATCATGGTACACTTGGAGTACCAAAACAGAAGTGAGAAGGTATCAACCCAACTACAGAATAAATGAAATGAAAGTATTAGGAGCAGAACAGTTACAAAGCTGAGCATCACTGCAGCAGCTGTAGCTTTCAGTGCTCAGTTTGTAGTCCTGCACTCAGCCCCCTAAAATCTGTGCTTCACAGATCTTTCACAAGCATCCTAAGTTCCAGCACCTCTAGCACCTGGTGCCAAAGACCTGACTCCAGCTGGTTCATTACTGTTAAAATAGACTCAGAGTAGGGAAGGTCTCCACAGAGGCAAAGCAGCTGGGAAATCAGATCCAAGGAGTTGTTTTGGTGTCCAGGCAAATGGCACTCTGGATTTTTTTCCCCGGATTGCTGCACTGGTGATTTTTTTGGGTTATTTTTAATTTTTTTTTTCCCAATCTGACAGTTTGAGTTGTGATAGAGGAGAAGGGGTAAGTCAGTTTTGTGGCCCCAGTGGGATGGCTCAGAGTGCTGACTCCATGGGAAGGGTGAAGCTGTGTGAATGGGATGAACGTTAGGCTGCAGTCTGGGAGGAAATGGTGATCTGAAAATCTGTGGATGTGAAAGGACAAGGGGACAAAACGGACGTTTGCTCCTTCTCAGAGACAAGAGACAGCTTGTTCTGGCACACTGAATAAAAAAGAAAAATGCAGGTTAAATTAAAGCACAGCTTAATTGGCATCCCAAGTCCAGTGCTTTTCCCATTGATTTCAATGCAGAATGAGTTTCTTCCTGTCCTAATTTCTCTTACTTCCTGCCTATTAGCAGGAAAATGGCAGCCACCATGGAATAAGCTCAGAGACATCCACATCCATAGAAAAGTTGAAACTTCAAGAGGTATTTCTTAAACAATGTTTTTTAAACTTTATATATTCTTTTTTGGTCTATTTATATACCTGTGCAATGTTTGATAGGAAAGCACTGGAGAGTTTTCTTCTATGATTAACAATTAATGATAAATATTTAGCACTCATTTAGCACTTCACATCTTTTGTAAAATAAGACCTTTTTTTTTCTCTATACCTTTTATAAATATTAACTATTTGAATATTAACTTTGGGGTTTTCTTTAAACCTAGTCCTGTTTCCCATTGTTATGATTCAGCTAAACTGGTTCTTGCTTTCTCCACTGGACTTAATTATTTTTTTTAAGCTTCTTCACAGATATATTTTCTCTATAGCTTATCCAAAGGTGAGCTTTGCACAACTCAGCAGCAAGAGTGAGAAATCAATCACAGAAATTATTATATGGCCTTTCCCTAAGCTTTCAACTTGCTAAGTTCACTCTGGCTCAGATGTGGTTTCACTTCTGGCATCCCTGTATTTGTGTGATCTGTCTCTGATCTGTTTATGAGCTTATGCCCCCCCAGTGCTCAGGAGTGGACGTTCCTGCAGCTCAGTACCTTTAGATTTACTGATGATGGATCTCTTGGCTGTCACTGATTATCTAGTTATATATCTTTAGCTGATATCCAACACATTGGTTACTATCAGTGCTGCAATCCTGCCTTCAGAGAGTGTTTAGCTCTAAGAACATTTCAGTAAGTGAAAGCTGCACCTGTTTTGCTCAGCGCTGTGTCCTGGGATTTCAAAGGAGGAGAAACCTTTCACGTTCAAGAGTTTGCCTCTTAATCCTACACAACTTGTAATTTATGAATCTTTGTCTAGTGAGCTTAGTTAAACTGTATCACAGAAATCCAGATAGTTTTACTGTTGCCTTTTTAATTTCATTAAGTCCTGATCCTCTGGGGTGTTAAGTCTTGTGCTTGCTGCAGAGCAGCCTCAGCTCCCTGGGAGTTTGCCACACTGAAGCATCTCACAGGATCAAATGAGTGTAAAGCCTGTTGAAGTTGATAGGTACTTTTCAGCTGCCTTCAATGTTTTTTGGATTAAGCTCTTGATAACTGAATTTTATATATTTACATGTGTTACCCTCTTCCGTATTATCAGTTTCACTTACTTGACATTACAATTTTGGAATTTTACTAGGATTGTTACTTTAACAAGTCTATCTCTATTGGAACAGTGATTTAATTACATATGGATACTTGAAAAGGTAGAATATATCCAGTTCCCAAGTCACTTAATAGCCTCATATTATTTTTAGGGGGTTCTGGTTATACATCTTAAAACTGTGTTATTTTATATAAAGGTGGTATAAACAAAGCACTGTCCACTCTTGGCTGTCACTGCTGCCCCTTGCTCTGGTCACTGTGATGTGTGTTTGCTTTGATTTCTGCTCTCACACTTGTGAAGTGGGTCAGACTGTGTCTCCCATCCCCTGTACAGCCCATGGCTGGTGAATTATTTCCCTTCAGACCTTAGAGATAGAACAAGCCCTTGAGAACTGGCAGGCTGCTGCAGCAGGCTGTGGACAGAGCCTGCGTGCCTGCCCATTCCTGGAATTATAAAAATGGGAGGGAGCCTTCACTCATCATATGGATTTCATCTGGGAAGTGGGCAAGTAGAATGGATATTATGCCAAATCGAGCTTGTTACGTGGTAGTAAGTAGAATATGATACTTTGATCAGGGGTAAGTTATAAACAGATTACAGTGTCCTGCAGTTATTTTGATACCTGCTCAGTTCTGAGGCTTCACTTGTACAGTTTGTCTGCACTGCTGCTGTGGATACCAGGATGACTCTTCTACTGTCTCTTGTCATATTCTCATCCCAGATGATTCTCTGATGCTTTGTTTGTATGTCTTCATACTCCAAAAGATTCTGTGTACTGGAGTCAGATTGATCACATCAAAGAGCAGAATGTAGGAAGATGACAGAGAGGACATTTTGAGTGGTCCAGAGTGATCCAAAGTGATGGCTCAGTGAAATGGCAGAAATTACTGTAAATGCAATGAAGTGGTTTGTGCTATTTCTGTTGTTAAATATTATTTGAAATTTTAGTATCTTCATCCTCAGAGAGGAGCTAAAGCCTTACAACTCTATCTTGATTTAAGTTTTACTGTCTGTAATATGTTAGAGCTGTTTCCTTAATTCTTTCAAGTAGTAACATCACATCATGTGCAATGTGTTGGTGATCTGAATTTTTTTGTTTGTGGGGGAAAATGGCTTGTGCATCATGTCATTTGTGTCTTTGCTCAGGATCTAAGGTATTTACTCTAAAGAATACTAAATATATTCATCAATATCAGTGCTTTTGGCAGAGCTGATGAGTCACATGGTTCTCGTTGTACCTGCAGACTTGTAATGCTTCCTTTGCCACTCGTGACCGGCTGCGCTCACACCTGGCCTGTCATGAAGACAAAGTCCCATGCCAGGTGTGTGGGAAGTACTTGAGAGCAGCATATATGGCAGATCACTTGAAGAAGCATAGTGAAGGACCAAGCAATTTCTGCACTATCTGTAACCGAGGTAATGAAGAAACTATTCTTTTCTTTCAGGGGGCTGGGGTGGCACTGGAGGGGAGCTGTGAGGCTGAGTGACTCTGCCTGCAACAGGAGGAGGTTCTACCATGTGTGTGACCATCCCCTGAGACTGCTGCAGCTGTAGGGCTGGCTGAGAGTTCCTAAAGAAACTCAGTTGAAATCTGAAGCAAATTGTTTCGAGACAGTTTTAAGAATTTTAATTGCTAAATAGCCACATCCCTATACAATAACCACGATAAGTTGCCTTGCTGCTGTTCACTATACATCTTCTTTTCCTATACCTGGTTAGACTTGAGTCCTTGCAACCAGTTTGGAAGAAGAATCTCTGAAATACACATCAAGTTGAAAATCATACACTGAGCATAAACAGATTTACATTTTGTTATCAAGTCTTGCTCAACCTCCTGGTGCAGCAGAGTCAAGCTACTTCTCCCTCGTAACCCAAGAAATTGCTTTGCATTAATGTACATTTCTAAAACAGATTTTGTGAAGAGCACTAGAAATGTGTTTTACCTTTATTTGTACAAATACAGCTTTTCATAGTATCTGGAGTTGGAAGGGACCCATAAAGATCATTGGATCCAACTCCCTGCTCCTTGCAGGACTATCTAAAACTAAACCATAGGACTAAGAGCTTTTGAAGCTTTTCTGTCTGTTTATGGTATTCTTCAGTTGAAGATAGTTGGAAATTTAGGTTTTGTGGGATGTAAGGCGAGCTGGAAAAATGATTTTGACTTATTGGTGTCTTTTTTTTTCAATTATTAATATACAACTTCAAAATACACTGTTGGCTCACACAGCTAGTAAGGGTTGGAAGAGTTGCTGCTGTGTTTTGGAATCTTGTTTTTTCCGATGAGTCATTTTTTTTCTGATGTGTGTTCCCTTTTCTAATTTAAGAGATGTGAAATCTTCTGAGAGAGAGAATAAAGCTGTTCTGTGTTTGATGTGAGGACTGTACAGGGAGCTTTTGGAGTTGATGAGTAATGAGAGACATTAAACTGAAAGGGAAGTATTTGCACTTGTTGAACAGTGTGTTAGGTCCTGAAAGTGATATTAACAGTGTGAGTGGAAAAGGCATCTGGGATGAGAATCCTGAGGTTCTGAAGCTCCAGTAGATGGTGTGAAATGAAGTTTGCCCTCCTTTTCAGCTTCTGAAAAACTGCTTAAGCTTATCCCGATTCTTTTTGTGGTAACAATGAAAGATCCTATGCAAGATCCAGGTGCTGTCCTGCTCTCCTTCAGCTGAGCGTGGTGCCAAACAGAAACTCCCCCGAGTTGGGAGGAATTGTCTTGTTTCCAAGATTTGTGAGCTTGAGTTTCAGCGTAACTACCACTGGATGTCACTGCAGCTCTTTGGAAATGGAGCCAGTGTGACAAAGACAGACCCGGCATTCAAACAATGACATGACCAGGGGGTGTATTCACATTTTACAAGTCTAAATGTACAGTGGAAATTTAAAAATACTCTTCTCTGCAGAAGGACAGGGGACCTGTTGTACAGTCACCTTTAAGCAACTCCTTTCTTACAGTTCGTGTACTTCACAGCAGTTGTCAGAGTTGTCAGAATTGTGTACTGTGAATTTCAGTTTACAGCAGGACTTGAAAAATGTAATTAATGTGGTAAATTACTGTTAAATATCTACCCAATGTTAAAATTCATAGGAAGGGGAAGTCACAGATTGGATTTGTCAGATGACTGTGTTACAACCTCACTGTTTTACGCTGTAAATGTTGATTACAGATTTATGATCAGTGACAGCAGAATTTTTCATCCCAGGTGCTCTAGAATCAAATCATAATGGTCATAGTTTTAATTAGATATCTTTTAAAAGTGTAGAGCCTGACAAGATGGAGTCTAGTGGAAGGTTTCTGGATCAGAAACACCTGTTTGTGGGCACTGGGACAGTCAGAAGCTGCACTAACCCGACGGTTGTGCCGTGCCTGCAGTGCTTGTGCAGTGGTGTTTGGTTTATTCTTCCCCTGCCTAATGTGCTGGTGTATCTTTTAATTTTAACTTAGCTGGTTCTGGATATAGTAAATGTCAAACTCTGGATATAATAATTGTCAAGCAAGAATGCTTTCCAAGCCCAGGCTACTTGGAGAGAGAATTTTGGATGTTGGCCCACACACAAAAAAAAAGTGGATGAAAAGATGACTCTTACCCAGCTGAACATTCCCAGTGTTTATGACAGAGCTTAGAATCCCTCAGTTGGACTGAAAGCTTTTCTGTGGAACTTAATTAAGCAGCTCATGTTCTTGTAAAGGTGTAATGGATTTAGGAGATGGGGCTGGAACTCAGCACCTGACAGAAAGCAGCAGCCAGTGGTTTGCCATGTCATGTGTGTGCCCATTTGTTGATCATATCTATTTCTTTTACAACATGGCAGTTTAATATCCAGAAATTAGCAGCTGTGATTTGATGGTTTTTGCAGGTTATTTTCTTACTCAGGGTCTTTATGCTTAGAATAATCATGGAAGCAATTAAATCTTTTAAATCAGGGAAACAGTACAATGGTTTTGGGGGGGTTTTTTGGTTGGTTTTTTTTTTCCCTGGGATTTTGGTTGTTTTGTTTGCTTTTGGGGGTTCTTTTTCTTTTAGTTTGGTTTTTTTTAAGAATTTGTCTAAAATATGCTTATAAAATCTAATCCTCAAGCCTCACTTTTTAAGACAAATTCTCTTTAATCAGGTTAAATAAAAAAGACCTGCTTCTGTTGTCTTGTTGCATAAACTTCTATTACCATCCTTAGGAAATTTATTTGCTTGTGTGGACAAATTCAAGAGATTGATGACTTTGGCAAATCTTGAGCTGGTACTTTGTAATAACAGGTGCAACTCAGAAGTTTGGGTTTTCTGTTTCAGACACAGACACACTGTTTGTTCACAGAAATCAAATGAGTGAGGAGAAGGGTAGATATTCCAATCACAAGTGGGATGGAATTTATTTTTACTATAAGATGAATTCTTGCACTTTTCATGGAGGACACAAAGTCCATTAAAGCAAGAGATTCTCTGCATGTTCCAACTAAATCCAAATTAGAATTTTTGAACAGGGAGCATCCTGCAATTATTTCTCTAATTTATCTCCATATAGATGTTATGTGGGAGATCAAGGGATAGGTCCCATTTATATAAAGCAGATAATTTCCTCTCTATGCATGTTTTTCTTCTGGTATGAAGAAATAATCTGCTTCTCAAAGCAGAGAGATGTGTAGGGTAAAACAATAATTACATTCCTTCTCAGAAAAATACTGCCACTTTATCCTCTCCACAAGTCTGACTTTGTTCTGAAAGAGACTTTTAAAAGTAAGGGATTTTTGTCCATGAACCCCCATCTTTCTAGGACAGCTATTCCTAATTAGTCTGGTGGAGGAAAAAAAGGCCAGTGCACTTATGCTTCAGGAAAAAATTAGGATAAAAACAAACTCCCCCAAATCTCCCTTTAAACAGTTTCCCATGAAGCAGTTGGCATTCTTAGGGCTTTGATGGAAGTTGATGACTCACATGTTCATCTGCCAAGTGCATAAAGGGGAGCTAACACACTTTGCAGCAGTTTCCATTATATAAAACAATGTGCTCTACAAATAGAATTGCAGAGTTCAGAAATAATATTGTGTAGCAGAGATTACAGCTTCAGATTCTCCTGTGTCAGTCCTGGTTTAGAAAGCCACTGAATACCTGTGTGTAGCCCTTTTTTAATGGTTGGCAGGGAGATTTTAGTGCACTGCTACATAAAAGAGGTTGATCTCAGCATGCCTGTGGTTACTGGACATGTAGGAAATAAGGGAAGCACCTCGTAGGTGGAAGTGTCACTATTATGTCTGTACCCTTTTCTCTGCCAGTCAAACACTGGTTCTTTCCATATCTACAGAAAATTCTTGTTATTTATAGAAAATCCATTCTCTTGTTGCCCAGTGAGGTTTCAGTGCAGCGTTTGGTGTCTGAGGGCAGGTCTTGCATTATTCCCTCACCCTGATTCCCTGGATGCCTTGGCCTGGCTCCTTCTCTCCATTGTGTTTCCAGAGCCGGATGTTCTTGGTGTCTTGAATTGTGATGTATCTACTTTTCTGTGCTTTTATCTTCAGCTCAGGGGTCCCCAGTAACTACCTCTTGTTCATTCCCAGCAGCCTGCCCTTTCCCCCTTCAGCAGGCTGCTGTGGACTTCTGTCTCACTTTGCAGGGCCTGGATACTCTTTGATCCTGGCTTGTAAGGAAGAGCCTGGGCAGAGGGATATTCTGTTGGCTAGGCATGGGAGAATCTACTGTAAAGCCACATTCATGATTAAATTCAGCACCTGAAACTAACAGCTGCTGTCAGAAAATCCACCCCACAGATGTGTGCAGGATCCTTCCTAAGATATTATATATCATCAAATGTAAATACAGTTATAGCACTATAAATTGGCTTTACAGTAGAATAACTGTTCATATTTTAAGTGATTGGTATGAAAGTTCTCTTGCAGGGGCTTGTGCTGTAAATGCTGGATTGGTTTAAAAAAACCTAGGGCTTGGGTTTTCCCTCTCCAGAAAGGGAACCTGGAACTCTGGGCCTGTGACAGTGAACCTTGTCTTGTGTTTGGTTGTTAAAGGAAAATGTTTCTGACATGAAAGTGCCATAATATTCTGTTCAAAATCTAACAGAAAATTAAGCTGGTTGTTGGGAGGTTTACCTGTGTAGGAAATCTTTAAAATTCTGTCCTCCTTGTGTCTCATATATGGTCCAAATGTACTAGTAATAATTGCAAATCTTATGAAGATTGAATTTAAAAGCATTCCAAAGTATATGTGAGGTAATTTATTGCATTAAAGGAAAAGGACATGTGAGACTTCAAAAACCATTTTAAAAAGCACATGCACAGATGTAAAAGACCTGTTTTGTTCAGAAATCAATTGTTTGAAATATATGTTTTTAATTTCAGTGGTTTTGGCTTACGGATCAGAGCTGATAGAAATAGTGAAATTTATTTTTAATATTTTTTGTTTACTGTAGACAAAATACTCAGGATGAGCTGAATGCAGGAAATGTGTTCTAAAAATTACTGTAGAACAAAACTGTATACCTCAAAAACTCAGTAGTTTTAGCTTTCTGCCTTCTAGAAGTCACTATAAATGCCAGAAACCTGAGGGGAAAGCACACTAAATACCAACGAGGGGTGTTGCTAAATGGCATTCCTTTGAATCTTAACAGCATAAAATCAACTAATTAGAACTATTTTCCGAAGTGTTATCAGATGATAAAGGCATTTTTAATTAAAATAAATAAAACAGCACAAAAATGGTGAAGAGGCATGGGTGCCTTTTTCTATGATGTCTCTTCTGCCTTTTTTCCAGAAAGTTCCTTATCATCTGCTCAGTTTGGTTCCACAGAATTTGTTTTGAAGGAGGCCGTGCTTTCGTCACGACTAACAAAAAGCAAACACAGTCTGATGAAAAGTTTGCAATTCGTTGCTGCCTGATGACAGGATCCTACCTGAGCATGTCCTGGGGAATTAGCTGGTGTAAGGGCAGCTTTGGAATAGGGAGCAGGAGTAAAAGATTAAAGGTCAGGGAAGGCAGATGTGTGTCTTTGCTGGTGGCAGGATCTCATCTCCTTTTATCTTGTTTAGGTTTCTCCTCTGCCTCCTACTTAAAGGTCCATGTTAAAACCCACCACGGTGTTCCCCTTCCCCAGGTCTCCAGGCACCAGGAGTCCATCCCGAATGGGGGAGCAGCGTTCCACTGCGTCAGGACCTATGGCATCAAAGGCAAGAGACTCTGCTCTGCACTTGCTGCTCTGGGCAGAGCTGTGTGTGGTGGGGCGTTGGGCTGGGAGGGAGGAAGGACAGGGAAATACTGGAGACAAGCTTAGGGAGATGCAGAGGAATTCCACAGCATCGTGTAGGACGTGATACCTGCCCTTGGATAGCTGATCTAACAAGGCTGGGGGAAGGAGATGGACACAGAAGAGCATAGGAATTTTTGGCAGCTTCTTTGATTTTGGAGATTGAAAAAGCCACGTTGGTTCATCTTGAGCCTCTCCTGTGGAGCAGTGTCTGAATTTTGCCTGAGGGTGCAGATCATGGGCCAGTTCCTTAGTCCCACTCCACTGGAATCTCGTGTCAGTCAAACCAGGTTTCTGGTGAAGGAAGGGGGAGCTGCAGAATGCAGTTCATAAAGATTCATCCTCAAGATAATGAGGGGCCATGCAACTTTCTATAGCTAAACTTAGACTTCTAAAAGCTGTTATTGGAGGGGAGAGGGTGATAATAGTACTGGTACTTGTTTGTTTGTTTTTAACCTGCATTTAACTTCTGGGGGAAAAAAAAAGGAAAAAAATATTATTGTAAGCATAGCTTAAGAGTATTTAACTTCTGAATAAGTAAAGCTGTGTGTTTATCTGTGTAGAATAGCTTTTTGCCTTTTTGGTTTGAGCTGTCAGTATTTCTGGTGAAGCTGAAACATCAGAAGATGTTTTGCTTTAAACCCATGGTTATCTTTTTTCTTGCCCAGGAGAACACAGCAGGCTGGGTCAAACCAAGTCTGTGCCCTTAGAAAGCTACACGTGTGCAATTTTTTCTGTTGAAGTGTTATAGAGTTACTACAGTAGCCCTTTGGTTTTGGGTGGTGTGCTGACTTAACAAGAGATTTACTCCAGCTCAGTGGTGTACTGATTTCATGCATATCCTGTTTGGTTTGTAATGCTGAGTCCAGAGCAAATCTGTCTTTTGGGTTGTGCCAAGTGGTTCTTTGGTCTTTTAGAGTTAATAGTAGGTACAGCTTATTTGTATTCAGAGACTTGCCCAGTGAGTATGCCTGGGTTTCTCACGCTCATTCACATGCACTGAGCAAAAAGTGTGGCCAAACTTCCCTGGCATAGTGCCAGAGGAGAATGGGGAACACTCCAAACATACCAATGGCTTTTGCTGGGATAGGTATCCAAGTAACTTTAAAACAGTGTCCCTAACATCTCTCCTGTTTCACACTACAGCATTTAAAGGTGGAGCAATTTCAGATTGTGAAGTTCACTTTCAACACTGTTGCACTTGTGAAAAAGAGTTCCTTGAGACTAAGTGTAATTGCACTCAAACTGCAGGAGCTCACTGCTGTTGCTGAGTATTTCCAGGTTTCTTCCCATCTTGCTGCAGCCTGTGGTACTTTGTGAAGTTTCTCTAGGCTCTGCCCCAAAGTATCAACAATATTTCAGAAGTGTGTGAGTGAATTGCACAGTTAAAAAGTCATCATTAGGCCCATCCTTTCGTAGTATCTGAGGTGTAAACACTGTGAGACATCTCTGAGATTCAAGAAATGTTGTATAAACAAAAGACCCATTATGGTTGCATCCAGTATCATGACAAAGCCGTAATGAAACCCCAGCTGTTGCTCTGGGGGCAGCCTCATGGTCTGGAAAGAGGACCTGTGCTCAGGGGCTGGAAAATGTGAGGGATTGGATTTTAAGTGTGTAACATTCTGTCATGACAGGCATGAATGTGATCAGGTGGTAACCAACACAATCTAAATATGCTGAATACCTCTGTTTGGGGCATAAGATTCTGAAAACTTCTCTCTTTTCTTTTCCCGTAGAAGGCCAGAAATGTTCCCATTCGGACCCGATTGAGAGTTCTGATTCATATGGAGACCTCTCTGACACCAGTGACCTCAAGACTCCTGAGAAACAGAGCACCAACGGGTCCTTCTCGTGTGAGCTGGCAGTGAGCAAAAACAAAATGGAGACGGAAGGGGAGAAGAAATACCCGTGCCCCGAGTGCGGCAGCTTTTTCAGATCCAAGTCTTATCTGAACAAACACATACAGAAAGTTCACGTCAGGGCCCTGGGTGGCCCCTTGGGGGACCTGGGTCCTGCTCTGGGATCCCCCTTCTCACCCCAACAGAACATGTCTCTCCTGGAGTCCTTTGGGTTTCAGATCGTCCAGTCAGCATTTGCATCATCCCTGGTGGATCCAGAGGTCGACCAGCAACCGATGGGGCCAGAGGGGAAATGAGATCAGTGTGATCTTAGCAAAGCAAAGCAGCAGTCTGGCTATAGTGATAAGATGCTGTGAATGAAAGAGGAAATAATGGAATTGGGTTCTATAGCTGAGAATTTTTTATTCATTTTAGCTTCCCTCTTTGTCTCATGCCCTACCCCCACCTTTAAACTTCCACCGGGGAGAGGGAGAAAATGCTTCTTAGCTGATAAATTACAGAAGATGGTGGCCTTGAATAGGAGACATGACCCAAAACACTAAATGGAGCTTTAGAGGCTGCTGCTGGTGTTTCTCCGTGTTCTTCTGGAATAATGAGAAGTTGCCAGCACTGCTGTGAGAACGAGACAGTCCTAGTGACCGAGGCACCTGGGGAGCTACAGCTACAGGGAGCTATGGTTTTGTTCTCTCTCTATTCCCCACCCTCCCTAAACTACCCCAGAAAAACAGTAAGTTTTAAAAACAGACCCACTATTGAATAACATTAAGTAAAATGCCCCGTGGTTCCTAGCAGGTTACAATGCAGTTGTCCTTTTAAAACCAGAAAAAGTTTAAAGGAGGTGAGAGAATTCGAACCCCTTCTGCCTTTGTGAGGCTGTGAGTGCTGCAGCAGGACTGAACTGCTGAGAAAAATCACCTTTCAGAACAGGTTGTTTTAATTACTTTTGACCATTAAACTTGCTGTCAGGTTTTTAATTCTTTATTATTATTATTTTAGGACCTGTTGTAGTGAATTGCTACTGAAAAGCCAGTCTAAGGCGATACGCAGAGCACTCGTAAAGCAGCAGTCACATTAGGGTTAGTATTAATTTTTATTTTTTTTTTAGATGTACCATAATTAATAACTTGGCTAGTTGGTTGTTTTAAGTCTATGAAAGGAATAGTTTGTATGAAAAGAAAAAAAAAGAAAAAAAAAAAGGAAGGGAAAAATACCATTGCAGTCTGGTTGACTGGTGCTCATTTTTCATGTGGGGACCTAGGGTATGAACACGATCAGCTATCGGGTTGACACTATGTACCACTGACTTGTTTAGTGTGAATAAACCCAGGGGTTCACAGAGTGATTTTGGTTTAATTGGATTGGACTCTATTAAAGAAGTTAGTATGTTACTTTGCATCCCCTCGTTTTGTCTGGTTTTTGAGCAATTCAGCCACCTGTCCAAAAGGTGTGCAAGTGAGAGCCAGTAAGTAAGATGTTAATCCCACTCTACGCTGTGCTGTATTCTGAGCTGGGCTTTTTGACCACAGTCGTGCTCTCCTGATCTGCCTCTAGTCAGGTTTGCAAAAGCCAGTCTTACTCCTTTCTTTTCCAAAGAAGAAGGGTTTCTAGTATAAGAGGTGGGAATTGCAAACAGCATATCTCTGAAAAAGAATTGATTACAAAATGCAAAGAAGCTGGGCTTTAGGCTGTTACAGGTTCCATTTAATCTGAAAATACCACTTGTGCAGAAATAATGTCCTTTCTTGACCCTCCCTTTCCTCCCATGTTACTTGTCAAGGTTTTATGTACCAAACCCAGGTATAAATGTTGTTTAACACAGGGTTAGGAGTTAGGAATACTCTGAGTTTTAATTATGGTTCTGCTGTTGATGCTCAAGGTTACATAGAAGAGTTCCCTGAATTTATTCCTAAATTTCCTATCTGTGAAGAGTTTTCTCTACATCACAGTTGTAGAGAGGGTTAATGAGCGAAGGTTTAAGCAGTGCTTTGGAAAACTGCTTTGTGTTCTGAATGTCTCTAGAAAGGCCATTCTGAAGAGCCCAAGCCCCACACCAAACTTTCATCCCATGAAACAGTGCCTGTCTCCATCATTAATACAGTGCTGGAGCAGGGCAGATCCCTCAGACCAGGATCCACATCTGCTGCAGGAGATGTGCCTGTGTTAAATGGGATGGAGCCACAAACTATTGCACCACAGCTTGCCTTGCCCAGGTGCTCCTGATCCAAACCCTGCAGCTAATGCAGAACTGAAATCAGACACATTCCCATTTTGGTTTTATGTTTGGATTATAGAGCCTTTTGTAAGTATATGGATTTTGGAATGACCTTCTAAATTCTACAGAGTTAAAAGTTCCAGATTCTCTTGTTAGAAGCTACTTTTTTGTACTTGCTCTCGAGTGTTATAAACCCAGGATGAATAATCAATGGCTTTCTCTTTATAGCACCAGCACTTTCTAAATTGAGAGCATGTTGCAGTGGACTTGATGTTTTGCTATTAATCTGTGTTGGGAGACTGAAGGACATGTTCTTCTCCAGTCATCTTCTCCCAGAATCCCTGGAATAGGTATGAGTCTCATGTAAAAGGAAAAAAGCAAGCAAGCAAGCAAACAAACCCACCTTCAGACTAAAGCTTCATGGAATTGCTGTTGCTGTACTGGTAAGATTAGCTGAGAGGTAGAAACAGAACATTTCAGAAAAGTGACAAAACATTTTAAAATACCTTACAAATCTAAACAGTGCTGAGACAACCTTGTAAGCTGCCAAGGAAGTCAGGCTGGAGCAGGCTTTCCAGTCAGCATAACAATTCATGGGGATTAGCAGATGCAACTGCAGTCACTCTTTCACTGACAGCTCCTATTTAAGCCACAAAGTGAAGTTTCTGTTGAACTGAGGCTGGGTGCTGAAAGAGAGAAGTTTGTGTCCCTGATGTTCCCATGTGCACTTAAAGAGGGTGCACTAGTCAAAAAATTTAATTCCAAAAGCCAAATCCAGAGTATAGGATATTTTCATCCTCCATTTAGCTCCACTGACTTTAGTGTTAGTAGTGGGTTGAATTTTGGCCATGTCTATCAATTTAATTTTGAATGCTACAGACTTTGACCTGGTGAAACCAATGAAAAGCCTTGAACTAAAACTGAAGCCTTCTAAAACACTAACTGTGCATTCTGCTTGTCAAAGAAAATGCTTACTAAGGTGTCATGAATACACTGAATGAAAACTACTTACTTCTCAGTCTAGGGGACAGGGAAACAATTAGGCAGGAAGTTTACAATCCTGAAATGACAGTTCTAGATCATCCTGGTGTAAATGGGAGAGATTTGTACCAGCACAAGAGGCTGGTGCAGGCTTAATGCCAGCAGGAGTTTGGGCAGATCTTCAGCAGTGGTGTGTTTTCAGTGCTTTTTGCTTCTTTGGGGGCATACTGTTCCATTCTGGACAGTAATCTACATGCAAATCCTCTCTATTCTGTACTTTTGGAAATGTCTGTTTCTCATAGAACATGAGACAGATCCAAACAGAAAACCCAGCTCACAAGTTCAGAGTTCAGAGGGAAATAAGTACATTAGATGCCCTGAGCTGCAGCCTCACTTGTTGCTATTACATTTTATTTTTAATTGGCATATCAGTGTATAGGTGATAGCTCTGGTTTTGGGCCACCCTCCTTTCCTTGTCATCCCCTTTGGTGGGACTGCAATCCAGTGTTTGAGTCGGTGCATGTTTCTGCCAGGAAGGAAACTTCAGTTCATACAAATTTGGATCATCAGAGTCTTTGTATTACAGGAGTCCCATAACCTTTCATCTGAGGCTCAGAGTCTTGTGTATTAGGTATGATGAAAACATCTTCAGTCATTCATGATCTAAACATTAAAGACAGATAAGAAAGGAATAGATGCTTATAGGTGAGTGAGTGAAAGAAAGATGAAGGACTAAAAACCACTTGCATGCTTAAGTGTTGTGTTAAATGTAGGGCCACAGATTTATCAGGCTTCTTTTGTTGCCTGATTTGATCTTTATGTATGTTAATCCACAACAAATGCAAGATAAAGCAATTTAATAGGAATTTGTTCCACACTAAATTAAATGAGGTGACATGACCTTGCATTTGTCATGTCTTAAATGTGTGCAAACAGACTCAGTGGTGGGGCTCACCTGGTGCATGGTAATGTGGTGCATGTGAGCTCTCAATCCTGAGGGATTTTTGTGGGGAATTGATAGCAGAACCAGAAATTGAACACAGATTTTTCCTTCTCTCAATCCAGTGCCTTATAGTAGGGCAAAGTATTATATGTTGGGGGGATGATTTGTTTGTTTTTTAAAGCCAAGATGGTGTGGAGTTGGTCTTCCTACCAATCTTTTGAATAATTGTAAATGCCCAGTCACAATTTTAGACCTGTTTGAGTGCCAGTGACTTAGGGAATATTTGTTATTTCCCATGTATTCCCTGAAATTATTGTTTCTCCCTCAACTGCTGTCAGCAGTAAGGAATGACTTGAATAGAAGAGCTGTGTAACTGAATGTCTATCTAACTCAACTAATTGAATTGCTAGTATGAAAGCTAACCTAGATTTTGTAGGCTCTGTTGTAACTTTAGTGTCTTGTTTTTTCACTAAATCTTTGTTCCTAGAAATCAGTATCTGAACTTATGTCTTGAGTCGGGAGTGGGGTACCACTTTCAGCTTTAATTTTTTTTAAGGTGCTTGCTTGAGGAAGTAGATGCCAAAGTAAACTTCAAAGGAACTCCAGACTTCAGTGTTGGAAGAATGAACAGAGAGCAAAAGCTCTCTTTGGGTTTCATGAGAGATAAATGGACAAAGTAAAAAACAGCCACCAAAATTCTAAGTCATGAAACAGGACAGAAAACAAGAAAAGGCTTTTCTTTACCACCCACAAAAACAATCAGATATTTTCAATTGTTCAGCGTGGCAGAAACTCTGAGAGCAAGTGCCAAACAATCCCATGGAATGTGCTGGCTTTTTCAGCATTATCATACCTTAACAGCATTATCAATATCCAAATGTAAATCAAGCCAGCTTTGTACTGTTCACCTTTTGCCTGGGCACAATACCTGAGGTTTAATGAACAGAACATAAGCTCACAGTGAATCTCTGAGCTTATGCTCTCAGTTCCACTCTGAGAGACAAAACAAATGAGCAAAGAGGGAAAAAAAAAACAATAGGAAAACTTAAAACAGATTCTGGAAGATTCCAGTGTCTCCTGAGAGAGTCACGGTTCTTTATCCTGAACATCCTTTTCAAAACAAGATCCTTCAGCTGTTGTGAGTGAGCCTTTGGGAACAGATTTGGCTTCCAGCCCAGTGTGCTGCAGCTCCCTGCCCCTGTAAGAGGGCAGTGTGTCTGGAGCACTGGGCCTGGACCCAGAGGGAGGGAGGCAGGCACGGAGCAGGGATGCTCCCGGGATGAGCCACAGGTACTGCTCAGTCAGCAGCACCACACTGGAATGGTGTCCTCCTGCCTGCTCCCCTGACACCCTCACCCTCCTCACATCCCTGTGCCAGTGTGGTACCTACCCAGATGTGCCCAGCTCTGCAAATAACTGTGAGCTCTAAAACAAACCAGGGAACTATTTGGCTAAAAAGAAAAAAAACCCCAACCACTTAAAAATAGTGATGTGACATAACTGCAGAGTGATGCAGAGCAGGAGCAGGAGCCCTGGCTGTGAGGGGTTGTGGTGATGGCTGGAATGGTTTTGGAATGTTAGTGGAAAACCACAGTTGTGAGCTCTGTGTAGTGGGCAGTGACTGCCTGTTTGTAAAGAATTAACACCCTGTGTCATCTCCAGCCTCTTCCTGTGTTTGGTTCCTGTCTGTAAAATGAGATGATGATAACCCTGGGGTAAGGACGTGCCAGTATTTGATTGACATGCCAAATTGTGCTGCACAGTCGTGCTGCTGAACTCTGCTACAAATGTTTGGCCTCATTGACTTCAGGTGTAATGCAAAGTTAAACAAACATCTGGCTACATTTTCCCTGAAAGGTGAGATATTTAAATTCATTTAAAGGCTGCCTGGCACTATTGATCTGCTCTCAGGGTTAATGTGAATGAAGCTTTTCCTGGTACTAGAATTTTGGAGACCTGGAGGTGCTCTGAGCTGAGATGTGCTGAAGGAAGGAGGTAACTGGTACCTTCACTGATGTTCCAGTGACCCCCTCCCACCTCCTGGTTTCCATGTGGAACCTCCAGCCACTGGCAGCCAGAATTGCTCTTGAGCATCCTGCAGTCACACAGTGACCTTGGGTAAGTGACTTTACAATGAATCAGTCTCATGCTTGCTAACAGCTTTTTGGCTGCTGCCTCCACAAACTGGTGCCTTCTCCAGGCAATTTTTCCATGCCCTCTGCAAAGCTGTCAGACTGACTGCTGGCTCTGGGGGGATCAACCAAGCCTTGCTCTTGGGCTCACAGTTGCTCTTCGGTACTGTTGTAATCTGAAAGTTTGCTGCAATTAGTGCAAATACCAGAGGGAGAAAATAAAAGGCTGTTCTCAGATGTCCTGTAGAGTGAACAACTGAAACATGAGTGTGGGATGAGCCAGGAAAACTGGCATTTTTCCCTGGCTGCACGCCATATGGAAGAGACAGTGCCTTGGAAGGGAAGGAGCAGAAAAGTTTGCCATTGGCTCTGATGAATCCCAATCCTGCTTCTACTGAAGTTGTTGGGAATCCTCCCATTGTCTTCAGTGTGAGCAAGAAAGGATCTTAGGTGAGGATGGATGACTCTTTCCCTACTTGAATGAAGTCTCTTGCCTATTTATGGGCCTGCTTCTATTGAAACCGAGCCTGTTTTAGCCTTTTTGGGTTCTTAGGGACCTGTTTGTATAAAGCAACTTACCTACCTATCTTTTTTTTTTCTATTGTGTGTATTTTTTGTATGTTCTGTTGGAAGGTGAAGCCTCTGTAGAAGGGGATACAAAACCTGATTTTTAAATAGTAATAAACCAAAAGAGAATTAAACTCTGCAGGCTGCATGCATTCATTTCCTGGAGACGGAGAGTAGAGACCACGAGTGCACAGAGAGATGGGCTGTACTTCTCGTATCTCAAAATCTTCCTCTCTTCAGAGACAGTTCCTGCCTTTGCACATCTCCCCAGCTCTCTGTGAAAATCCATAATTGCAACACTGTGTTCCCAGGATGGCCTTATTTTGACTAGAAAATCCTTTCTCTGGCACTGTGCAATGAGATTTCTTGTTTCAGCATAAGTGGATGGAGTAACAAGTATCTGTGAAATTCAGTATTGTCCTCATTGAATGGCAGTGAAATAAAACCAAGACAGGATATATAAATATATTTTTGCTTTTGGCCTGCCTACCTCAGGTGCTGGGGCATTGTCCAGTGCACAGTGTTCTAACTCCACACCATTATAATCTAAAGAAATAAGTGTGCAAGTATTAGGTGAAACTTTACTAAGCCTTTGTTCTTTCCTGGCTTTTTACCTCCTTATGTTTTTGCCAGCTGGAGCTCTGACTTTCTAAAAGAGAAATCAAAAAGACCAAAATAACGACAGAATTTTCCCCTGTTCTGTAAACATACTTAGGGAACAGAGCATTTGCTTTTGTAAATAGATGTAAAACAGTCCATGTGCATATGTCAGTCATGAAAAAGGCTATCTCTGCATGCCTATGGCATGTGTGTGACCCAGAGAAAATACAGAGGTTTGCCTTTCCACACAGGAAAGAAAGGGCAACTTCCCAAAATAACTCCTCTAGCAGCCTTCAGGCAAACACCTGTGGAGGGAGGTCTCACAGTACCTGTGTGCCAATGGTTTTATCTGCTTTCAGGTCACCTAAGAAAACAAAATCCAGAGGTGAGAGCTCTGCATTGTAAATGTCTGTGAATCGTGCTCTTTATGAGGAAGCAATAATAGCTTTGCTGCAAGGTTTGGTCTCTGCTTCTCTGCTCACGTGTTGAGTTACAAAGGAGAGCCATTACAAAATGAGTCTCTGCTTCTGCTCTTCCATTATGACTCCAGTCCTCGTCCCTAAACCCCAGAGAGATAAGAGGACATGTGTTTGGGGTTTTTTTATGTGTGCAAGTTTATAATCTTACTGCCTTTCTGTTGGCTTGGAATATGGATCACTTGCTTATGAGTGCCTGTGCTATTTGGACATGGTGTATTTTCTACAGGAACTGGGAGTTTTGCATATTTAAGTGCAACTCTAACCTCATGCTTTCCACAATGGAATCTAACTCCTACTTTGATAATATTCCATGATTATTGAAGTTTAAACATAAGATTTTTGAGCTATCACCTCTGTTTGACTGTGGAATCAGATTCCATGGTAAGGGAAGCATTGTTATAAATATATTTAATAATCCAATTCACTGGAGGTTAATTTGAATAGATATTAGAACAGAAAGCTTTATTCCTTTTGACTCAGATCTCCAGATGTTTTGGTGCTGTGTTTTTATGTTTCTCATGTGCAAGATAAACCATTATTTTTAGAAAGGCATTTTCTAACAAGAGTGAATGTTGGTTTATCAGACTGCTTAGCTTTGCCAGGTACTGCTGGGCACAGCAGTGGATTGAGAAACAAGAAAGCTGCAAAGTTACTTTTATACCTTAAAAAACAACTAAACAACACATTTTTCTTCCTGCATTAAAGCTTGTTTGTACTTTTCATCTAAGTCAGCACTACACATGTAGAACTTGAGAACATCTCAAGTCCTTGCATGCATATCCATCTTCTGGATTCCTTCCCCTAGAATACCATTTCATAAGGTAGGTATTGCATGTCTGAGGCTTCCAAGCACTTAGCAGACATTTAATCATTTCTGCCTCTGTGACATAAGTAGTATTAACATGGGAAACCAAAGCAGAAGCTTGCCTAAGGTCAAGCAAAGATCAGTTAAAGAATTTAGACCAAGGCTCCTGTTCTTGGCTCAGACCTATGTGTTCTCTGAGTAGATCACTGTATCTTTCAAAATAGCTTCCCTTCCTCCACCCTTAAAAATGCGGTCTCTGTTTTTTGTCAATAAGAGCCTGCATCTGGGAGAAAAACCAAACAATCAAACAAACAAAACCCAGCAAAAACCAGGGCAACTGGGGACTGAAACACCACGGTTAGACAGCTGTACCTAATTCCTAAAATCATTGCTATGGTTTTATGGTATCCTGCTAGGAGACACCCCTGTTGGATGGCAGGTAGAGCCGTGTCTGTGATCCAGGCACCGGGATCGGGACACTGCAGCTGGGAAAAGAGCTGAGGGCCGTGATCCACGGGGAGTCCTTCACAGCTGCCACAGTGGGCCAGTGTGAACACAATGTCTGTGGGCACTTGGGCCCTTCAAACCCACTGAGAAGAGCTGTGGAAAGGCACTGGGCAGTTTGTGACAAAAAGGACAAAGAAGCGTTGCTGTTGGAGAGGAGTGTGTGTGAATTTCTGAAGTCAGCCAGTGTTTAGTGCTAATCTCTTAATGATGGCAAAGGGGAGCTTTGGTGCTTCTCCCCAGTAAACAATAGGCCCCACATTGCCTCTGTCCTTTTAGGACAGCCCACACAGAAAGCACATCTGAGAAAGCACTCGGAGTTAGTGGAGCAAACCCTGAACCAGTCTGAACCAGTTCAAATATTGCATATGGTTGTTTTGCTTCTGCAGACTTCCTTGTTAGTCCTTGGAGGCTGTGCCTGGCATTTACTGAGCAATAGCTCATGCTGTCAGACTGAAGGGGGAGGGAAAGCCTCTCCCTGAGTGTGTCAGCAGGGCCATGCAACAGTGCCATTGGATATTCCTGCCCCTCCACGCCGACTCCTTTGTAGTCACTGTCTCTGTCTTGATGTTTGGTTATAGTCGGCTCAGTTTCATAAACTCAACATCTGATCCTTTTGTTGCAGCCCTGATGCTTTTTTCTTACATTCAAATTGTTTCCAGGTTAGAAATGAAACATGTTTGTTTACGACTCCTACATCGTTGCTTACAGAAGGCTTTTTACAGGTGAGACCCACTGTCATTTTCATGACCAAGACAGAGGCAACAAAGGAATAAACCCCCTGATTTTGTTGGAGTTGGAATAGTGTTTAGTGGCAATCGATGCTTTAAGCACAAATTGCTCTAAAAATCTCTTCATGGTAGGCGAGGTCTCAGGATGTACTTTATTCTTGAGCATTGCCATTTATGAAGGAAGCAGAAAATGGTTTAGAAAAACAAGTTTTGAGGAAAAATTGGAACAATTATTTTGGTTGCGTAGGAATTAGAAAGGGAATTTATGGGAACATGACATATGTTCTGTTACAAGGAGGGCAGTGGTCAACTTTTTCCATTTTAAGCATTCCTTGTTAATTTGGCTAGGAAAGATTACTCAGATTAGAAAGCTCATTTTGTTTACTCTCCCCAGTGTCTTAGTTGGTAAGATTAAGTAATAAAGCATGTTAGTTCTTGCATAGGAGGTTAGATGAACTTTTGCCCAGGAAGATCTGAAGGCACTTGGCTATGGCCAGAGAAGGAGGTGGGTTTGATGGGTTCTTGCAGAGTCACTCCAGAGCTGTACCTCTGTGGCTGCCTCCCTTGGCACAGCATGTTGGGCTATATGTGAGATTCATTTTATTTTTCTTTTTTTTTCTTTAAGAAAAGTCTCAATACACTTTGAATTTTTCCACAGGTGAAAAAGTAGAACAAACAAACAAGAAAGAGCAGCTGACAGACAGGAGAGAGAGAAAGCAGACATTGTTCATTCTGGAACCTGTATAAAGTAAACAGCAAAAAGGTACCAGCTCACAGCTGAAACTGGTTCACACTGAGTTTAGGGAGGATGGATGTTTGTGGGTGTGGGCATGTGCTGTGATACATGTATGTGTATACACCTACAGAATTCTACATGTAAACTGTGTGAGAATGTAGCTGCACAGCTATTAGATTACTTGTAGTTTGGGTAGTTTAAAATCAAGTCCTGGGAAATAATGTCACATTTAATCTCTAAAAGTGTAGCAAGAAGAGCAAACCCATTCCCAAGCAGCAGAAAGAGCAATTGAGTCTGCCTTTGACAGCTGCCACCTGGCATCCTATTAAACTTAACTCTATGAAACTGCCAGGCATAAATCTTCCCTCATCCTGGAGAAAGCTAGAGATGAAAGAAAAAATTATGCTTAGAAGTCAGTCGTGGAAAAGACTTTGATCTTTACCATTAATGTGAAGGTTTTTGCATTTCTCCCAGATTCCCCATTGTCCTTCTGTGGACTAGAAACTCAAATTGTTTTCTGGAACTTGGCTGGGTGTAATGAGAAGTGCAAATTTATCTTGTTACATAGCAGGAGAGCAGGGAAGGTCTGAGATTTGTTTCCACAGAGATTAGTGCAGTTCCTGGATCAGTATGTACAGGAGGAGGTGCTTTCTGTGCTAGATGGAAAGGAAGCATTAGTTAGTCTCATGAAGTGAGCAAAAAGAAATTAATTGTGCAGGTTGGCAGCCCTCTGCAAACTGTTTTGGACAGGCAGTGCCTCTGGATGCATATGTGGCCCTGCAGCTTCTGCTGAATGGAATCTGTCCCGTAAAATCTGTGATGAAGAGCTATTACAAACAGAAGGCTTGATTCAATAGCCCCTATTAACAATTCTTGCTGACTCCAGTTAGCCTTGCCTTCACAGAGAGTAACTGGAGAGCACCAGGAATGCAGTAACGGGGTGTCTGTGCAGACAATGAGCATAATGCCACAAAGGAGGAATCTTAGCTGGGGATGGCAGTCAGGACTGACACACACAGTTGGGTTTTGGTTTATTGGTTTTCTACAACCTGGCTGAGGTTTTTTAATCTGACATTATTAAACTAAATTTTCTGTAGTGGTAAGTCATATTGTTAAAGCATGAATCACACACGAGTGTGTGCTGAGGCCTATGGTCTTATACTCAGGAGTAGTTTTCCTCATCTACCCATCTGTCATGCTGATATGTATGTGTTTTTGTGGCTCCATTGGGGATGCAGCAGGTAACCTGGTTGTAAAGAGATTAAAGTGTTCATGACCTGGTGAAAAAGGGGGGAAAAGTTGGGTTGGATCAGCACCTTGAGCCAGCTCGTCACACAAGTACCTGTAGCAGCCTGAGAGAGCCCTGCCAGGATGGAAACATCTGGGAGTGGAAAGGAAAGGCCACTGCTCCAAAGAGTGATTCATAAAACACTGAATACAACATGCACCTTCCTGGCATAGAAATACTTTTTATGTGTTCAGTGTTTTCCATATGATTTCAAAGCACTTTAAAAGAAAGGAACTTCCCTGTCCTCTTCTGAGAAGGGAGGTTTGATTGTACCTCATGTAACAGAAAGGAAGGGAAAGCGCAAAGAAGTGAGGCAAGCAGGCAGATTGGCCAAGGTCAGGAGAAACTCTGTGGGAAAGCCAGAAATAGCACCTTGTGCTGCAGGCCTGTGCCTTGGCTACAAACCCATCAGTTGGCCCAGGCTGCCTTTGCGAGCTCATTGTCAAACAGGACCAAGTATTCAGTGGCTTGTTTTTCACTGGTGTAAAATAGAAGCATTGCTGAGGACTCCAGATGCTTGTGTACAGTCACTGGTGTGTTCAGGAACAGAAGTATCTATTGTAACCCATTTGAAATGTCTGCAGAGAGGCTTTATCACAGTGGCTGGCTGCCTGCAGTAGAACTGCTCTAAGGCATTTTAATGCTGTTTATCTTGCTTTTTCTATAAGCAAGCACAGCTCTTAGGGGATGTGGAGTCAAAGGAAAGCAATGGATTAGCAGAGGTGAGAATGTAAACCTTTAAGGTGGAGGCGCAGTGTGTAGGGTAGAGACCAGTTTTAAGTGCCTTAAGACAAACACTTTCCCTGCCACAGGCAGCGGTTCAAGCGTAGTTCCGTGTGGGAAGTCTCTTCTGGCCCAAGACTTTCCTGCGAGACTTTCCTGCGACTGTCAGAGACGAGCCGCCTTTCGGCAGCGCTTCCCCGGCGTCCCTGCCGAGCCCCAAGAGCCCGCGGGTGCCGACACCCACCGCAGCGCTCGGTGCCGGCGAGGACCGTGTGCGGCGCGGGGGAGCGGCTGCGGTTGCCGGCGGCCGCAGCCCTGCCCCGCGGCGGCCGCCCCTTCCCTCCCGGGCGGCCGGGCGGCGGCGGGCGGCAGTCGTTAGGGACCCGGCGGCGGGCTGCGGGCGGGGGGGGAGCGCAGCCGGCGGTTGTATTACTGGGGAGCGGCCGGGGCAGGGCTCGCCGAGCTGGCGCGGCCGGGGCTGTCGGCGGCTCGAGAGATGCTGCCGGGGCCCCGCGGCGGCGCTCGGGCGCTGTGCTGCTGCTGGGCTCGCTTGCTGCTGCCGCTGCGCCGGCCGCCCGCGGCGCCGGGGTGAGTTGGAGCGGCGGCCCTTTGTGGGGGGACAAAGGCCGGGCTGGGGAAAGGGGAAGACCCCCGTGGGGGAGCGGGTGCCGGGCGGGGGCGGCGTGGCCGGCGCCCCGCACGGCTCGGCTCGGCTGCGTCTCTCGGCAGAGTTGCTCGCGGCACGGCGCGTGCCTACCGCGCACCGCCGATGGCCCCGGCGGCCCCCGTGCCTCAACTGGCTGAGCGTGCGGAGGCCTCGCGCTGCCGGCAGGTGGGTCCGGGCCGGGGGAGAGCGAGACAGGGGGGTTCCCTGGGGGTTGAGGCGGCCGCGCTGACGGCCCCGCTGCCCCCCCAGCAGTTCAGCGAGGACCACAACAGCTAGCAGGAACCCGGACGGCGCCGCCGCGCCCTGGTTGCTTCGTCCGAAACGCCACCGGAGACCCCGAGCGGCGACCCTCGACATCGCCCGTGCTCAGGTAAGAGCGAGCCCCCGCCGGACCTCCCCTGGCCCCTTGCCCTGGGCAGCCCCTGCCGCGGGAGGCCGGGGGATGGCTCTGGGCCGGGTTCGTCGCCAGGGTGGGGTCCCCCCTGCGCACAAACAACCCCGGGCTACGCCAGCACCTCCCTCGGGAACGCGGCGTACCCGGGGCTCCCCTCCAGCCTTCCCCCGTGTGTGCACATCTGCCTCCCAGCTGTGCCTTGCTCCGCCCCTACAGCTTTTCCATTAGTGCTAGAAAAGGCCTGTGGAAAGCCCCCACTCCTCCATATTTCACTAGTCACCATAGGGCTCTTTAGCTGTGTTGCAAAAGGGCCGAGGTCTGGGCATCTAAGAACTGCAGAGGTGTTGGGAGAGTCTTACTCTGGGGCGTGTTACAGCTGACTAAAGAAGGTTCCTGCTGCTAAACGATTCCTGGTGGGAATTTGAATACAGGTGGGGGAAAGAAGTTGGAAAAAATAAGAATTTTAAGGGAGGACACGAAGAAATGGAAAACCCCAAACACTGGATTCCTCCTGGATAGTCACAGTAGGAACAGTTTACCAAAAGAACCGTAGCTGAAGCCTGATTGAGGGAGAGGAGATGTCAGTGTTGACTGACGCCAGAGCAGCCACTTGGGGCTTTTTGAACTGTTTACTGATTTCTGAGTCCTGCAAGATTTACGCACTCACTGTCCCTTGAGATTGCTGTCCTCGTGGGTAGATACTTTTCCCACACATGAACACCCCTCCCCTTTTCTTCACTTTGCTCTTTTTTTGCATGCTTTTCCCTAAAGATGGAGCAAAACAAATGTTCTGCTGCAAAGAGCCTTACTCAAAACAGTCCTGCAGCTTTGGGATCAGGAGAGTTACCTGCCCTTTTGGCAATTTGTGTGTCTAATGGGTTTGACTATTTTTGTGTCTCAGAATGGGCACCTTTCTGTGTCCCAACAGCTCCCTTTAGTTCAGCTTCCCGGGCTGACCGTACCTGAAGTTACTGTGCAGTGCAGGAGACTCTGATTTCCTGTCTCTAATCCCCCTTCTGTACTTCCATTTCACATTCCACTGAGGCCTCAAAATGGCTGCAGAGAGAAAATCCACAGGGAGTTATTGCCAGCTGTGGGGCAAGATCCAGGTGGAGAGAGTTTTCAGGTGTGGATGTATACTGTGCACAGCATTTCCAAAAAGTAGGGTTTTTCCTGTAGAGCAGGTAATAGACACCTACTCTACACCATCACAGCTTCTGGTGTGCTACAGCTTCCATTTGAACTGTATCATGAAAGAAGGTGCTACCTTGAAAATCTTTCAGTGCTGTTGATAAAAACCAGCAGTGATAAAAAACAGGGCCGGGAAGGGTCCTGTGCTCTGAGTGTCCATCCTTGGGTGCCTTTGGGCTCTGGCTGAGCAGGAACTTGCTGTCCTCACACTTATCAGTGGCTGTGCTGCCTGGAGGGCTGCTCTGACTTAGCCTGTCCAACATACTAAAGGAGTTTGCTACTCCACTGCAAAGAGGGGCTGGGGGAGAAGAATATCCCCACGTTGTTTTCACACCAGCTGGAGTCTCCTTCTCTCAGACTTTCCTGTGTCAGGAAGACTGAGGCAGAAGAGAGATAAATAGGCTCCTGGGAGATCTGGGATGGAGATTCTCATAATCTTGTTCACGTCTGTTCAGCATGATTGAGGCTGCAGCCTGTGTATCGATCTGTACATTAAATGAAGTCATTGTGCATCCTCTGGACTCGTGCCCTGAACCTGGGTTTCGTTCTGCTGTCTGACTTCTCTCTCATCTGCAGTGGTGCCTTGGACTCTTAGTTAAATGGTTTCATGTCAAAGGAAAGTGGGGGGAGGAGAGTACATTTCTTGTCTACTTTGGAAGAATTTCTGGCAATAACTTAAGAGGGAACAAACACATGTTGTTTTGAAGTACTCATCAATGCTTGGTATGTTGTATATATTTTTTTTTCCTCTCAACAGATGCTACAGCTGCCACTGCCCCAGTCCCTACAGCAGAGGTTGGTGCTTCTCAGGAGGATGAGCAGGTGTTTGAACCAGCTGATACGTTGCCCTCCCGGAGCGAGGCAGCCGCAGTGCAGCCCGTCATTGGGATCAGTCAGAGAGTGCAGATGAACTCCAAAGAAAAGAAGGACTTAGGGACACTAGGTATGAGCTCAGGATCATGTGCTGGATCCATTCTTGTAATTCTGGCAGGATGGATTTGTTTTGAAGCTCTAAAAGGTACTGCCTCTAATTTTGTCTCTTTTCTTTTTCTTTTCACAGGGTATGTGCTGGGGCTGATCATGATGGTGATAATCATTGCCATCGGAGCTGGTATTGTCCTGGGATACATCTATAAGAGGTGAGTGGCTGTTCTTATTTGTCCAGAAGCTGGTGTGTATAGAGCAGGAGTGTCTGAGCACCTGCAGACCTAATCAGATCCCAAGGAAAAGAGACAGAAGCATATGTTTGGTTGTGGAACATTGAGCAAGAGTTTTGTTTGTGCCACTAAGGAAAGAACTATTGAAGAGTTAATCCCATTCTCCATTTCACCCATCAGTGTGGTGTTCTGTCCCATTTAAAGTTTCAAATTGCCCTCTATATTCTTTGCTTTTTTGTGTGTGCATACGTGCCTTGATGTGGCTTCCTCAGATGTGTTGTGGGGAGCTGGAATTTATGCAAGAGCTGGAGAGAGCAGATCCCAGGTGCCCTCTGTGATCAGAAAAAGAACAATCCTTCTAGCAGGCCACCTGTTTCCCTGTTTTCTCTAGTCTAGCTTTAGAAGAAAAACAGTTGGCAATTTTTTTTGCCACTCATGCATTGTATCCTATGAAGCTGAATACCAACTAGCACTTCTTTTTGGTCAAAGTTCATTTTACCAAAGCTCCTGTGTACTTTAAGGTCAGTTTTCATTCATACTTCAGTTACTATTTTTTCATCCACTGTGTTGGATGAAAATGTTTCTGTAGCTCAGCAGCCTTTGAGGGAAGTGGCAGCAGCAGCTTAGTTGTAAGAGAGAGGGCAGGATTAACAAATAGCAGTGATTGTCGCTGCAGCAAGCGAGGGCCCAGGCTCCCTCCTCTGGGAGGGTTGGTTCTGTGTTTTGGCTGTTTGACAGCAGTCTGACACAACCAAGCAGAAGGAGCCCTTTCCCAAGCTGGGACATGTCCTTATGTAAGTGTTTATAATAAATGCCGACAGAAAAAAAACAGAGGGAGGAGTGTTACATAAGGGGCAAAACACAGAGCGCTGCTTGTCGAGGAATCTGATTTGAGGTGTCACGTCAGAGAATGCTGTCTTGTGTGCTGGCAGGGACGGCAGCTGCTGCTGCACGCTCGTAGGCAGCTTTGAAAAGCAGCCAAAATGCTGACAGGAAACCCCAGCAGCTCTGCCTGGCTGGGATCACGAGCCCCGGGAGGAGCCCTGTGCCTGTCCCACCTCGCCGCTCTCCTTGGCGGGAAGAAGCAGGAGACCAATGTTGGACTTTGTCCAAATGCAGCTTTGCTTCTCCAGCCACAGATTGCTCACAGCAGGGCTGCAGTGCAGGTTTACTGTCTCCCTCCTTGCCTTGATCTCAAAATTGCATGTGCAAGCTGGCAGGTTTGGGGAGGTGTGGTGAGAAACCTTTAATGGGTTTAGTAGCTTTGGGTATACATAGCTTTTCTGGAGACAACATGCTATTAATGCCAAATCCATTTTTAAAGTAAGGCTGCTCTTCCTCAGCACAAATTACAGAGGTGTTCCTTCCCTTAGCAACAGGCAGGAGGCTGAGGTAGGTTTGGGAGCTGGTTGTGGAGTTAGGCTTTAGCTGCAGCAGCAGAAGGCAGGGCCAGCTCTGAAGTCAGCTTTAATACTTTCAGGGACAGCCTAATTTGCTGCAACAAAAAGCAGAAGCTGTCACCACCTCCAGTATTTGTTTCAGATGAAGCAGGTTACAGAAGCCCTTCTCCACAGCAGTGGGCTCTGCACTGTCTCACTGCTCCCCTGGGCCTGCACCAGGCAGTGCTGGGGGACTGTAAGGGATAAGAAAACATATGGCAGCTCCGTGGTTTGGAGGGGAGGCCTGGCTTTACAGTCATCATTTAGCAGCAGCAATGTCAGTGAATAAAGCCAGTTGGAGGGAGGGACAGACTTCACTTGGCTGCTTGTTTTTTAAAGATGCTCAGCTGGGGTCCTCTGCTTACAGTAGGGAATATATCTGGCACTTTTTTAGTAGCTGAAAGAGCTGTTTATCTTACAGTAGAGAAGAGGGGACTCTGCTCTTTATCACCTTTACTGAGACTCTGCTTCCAGGCAGTGGCACTCACCCCATGCATGTTTTTTTTTTTAATTTTAATGTAGGGGGAAAGACCTGAAGGAGAAGCACGAGCAGAAGGTGTACGAGCGGGAGATGCAGCGCATCACGCTGCCCCTGTCCGCCTTCACCAACCCCGCGTGCGAGCTGGTGGAGGAGAACACCATCGTGGTGCACACCACCCAGACCCCCGGGGAGGACACGGGCAGCGGCCCCCTCATGGGGCAGGCGGGGACTCCTGGTGCCTGAGTGGCTCGGGCAGGATGTGCAGGCTGAGCAAAGCCTCCAGCTTCCCACTGTGAGTGCAGGGGGTGCGTGTGTTCATTTCTGTTTTGTTTTCTTTTCGATGAACGCCGGCTGAGGGTGACAGAGGAGCAGAGCAATGGGCTATTCATCACCATCTGTTGGAGGGGCACCATTCAGTGCAGGACTGCCTGGGGACTGGTGTGGTGGACCCTGCTGCTTCCTCCCACCTATCTCCATGGTGTGCCAAGGAGCTGGGGGGGATGATGAGCCAGGCTCACGACTGGCCACAGATCCCATAGCCCAGAGTGTGGTCTTGGCTTCCTCTTTTTCTGTTCCTTTCCTATTTAATGGTGTGCACTGTTTCTTAAGTTTCAGCCTGGAACCCCAGGAGGGAGCAGTACTGCAGGGACTGAGGGGAGCTTCACGTCAGACTTAGCTACATAATTACACTCTGATTATAGTTCCTGCCTTTTTGCTTTAGTAGCTGAGAGCTGGAAACACTGTCCAGAATCCTGCTACTGGATCAGGTTTTTTTTTCCAAGGAAGAGTTTATTTGAGGGATCTCTTTGGCCAGGAGCAGTGTGTTTAGCCCCAGTGTCAGTTTGGGAAAGCTCTCCTCTAGCTCTTGACAAATCCAGGTCTTCCAGGGCTGAGGCCACATCTCCATTCCCCTGTGGTGCTACATGCACAGCCACAGTTGTAGGTGTCCAGGTGGTCTGTATGTGCCTCCTGCTCACTTATACAGATCAGGAGACCAAGGGCCAGCAGTAGATAGTTGTGAAGGAAACGAACTGCCCTTCAGTTACTTAAAACAGGTTAAACACTGAGGATAGATAACATCCTCTCTGGAATTCCCTTGGCTTCCTACAGAGCCAGTGCTGGACAGAGTGGCCAAGCTGTGGTCACCCAGATCACCATGCAGCAGCTCTGGCTCCAAGGGCAGGACAGGGCAGTTGTTTTGTAAGATCCTGAAGTCATGGCGTGGCTCCTGGCCCAGCCTCTGCCACACACACTCAGCTTGTGCAGCAAGACTACTTACAGAGCGTGGCCCTATTAGAGAGGTTTTGTAACAACTTTTATTAGCATTTCAGGGGGTTTGGAAGGGATGGTTGCTGCAGTGTCTCCCAAGTGGCACCAAGGCAAGGCCAGTTCAGGGAAACACCCGTCCCCACCTCAGGGGATTCAAGCCATTCAAGTAAGTTTTCTAGCCATCTGCTTTATAGCTGTGGGCCTAACAGGGAGCAGCACTTGGCAGCAGGGGTTTTAGTGTTAATGTTTGATTCAGAAAAGGGAAATGTTTTATTTTTAAATGCCTTTGAATACCATTTCTTTGTAAAATGTTTTAAATACCTCATTATGAGAAGGTGCAGACTGTGCTACCTTGTATTAAAGCTTAAAAGAAAAATGCTCTGTAGACCTGTGTGGACTGTGGCTCATCTGTGCATTCCCCTGCCAGAGCAGCACCCTTCAGCTTGTTGCAGATTTAGCTGAGGAGAAAGGAAGATGCCACTTCAGTTTGCCAGGCCCAAAAGTAAATCCCTTCAAGCAGTGCCTTCCCTCACCAGCAGACACGGGGCATGGAGCTTGTCTCCTTGCTGCCAGCAGCTGGTCTTTGGACTGGGACACTGTTCCTGAAAAGCAGCTGGTGACTCAGCAGCCTGGCCCGTGGGAAGACACTCGTGGTTACAGCCCCTTCCTGACTGACACGGGTCAGTTCTGCTTTGGTGCTGCTCAGCAGCAGCTCCTTCCCCTGGGAAGCACGATGGAGACGGAGCACAGCGTGTTCCAGGAGGCACTGACAGAGCATTTTTGTTCAGTTGTTGTCTTAACAAATGCCCCTTGGACTACATATTTCAGAATAAGAGGTTTCCAAGAACAGGCTGTATTTTTATCCCTGCACTAGAAAAGGAAAACATAAGGAGGCTCCATGTTCTGCTGACTCCTGTCCACCCTTAAAAACCAACCAACGAACAGAACTGAACAACTTCTCCAGGTAAATAGTCCTACAGAGCCCTTGCACTGTGACTCTGCAGTTCTTGGGTGTTTGAGATGGTACCTCATCTGGGCATGTTGTGACTACAAATGAAACCCGAGAAAGTTACAGCTTCCGGCTTTATTGAACACAGAGACCACAAAATCTCGTTCTTACAGCATTCACTTACTGCTTTTTAATTTAGAGCGTGGAGCTGTGCAAATCACAGTTCATGAACCCCACCCACACATCACCCAGGACTCTCCCCTTCAGGAGTCTCCTCACAAACCAGCCTGGGAGGGGGAATGAAAGGGCAAATCCTATTAATAATGCTGAATCCACTGGACCCAGTTTAGTGAGGCTCCTCCACTGACTCACAGCACAGGGAGTCCCCAGTGTTTCTAAAACACCACTACATAGACTAAAAACACCCCCCCTTGCACACCTGTTGTCATGTGATGGCTGGTCCCATGTTTTTTTTACATAATACTTTAAACTCATGGGTAGGGGGAGAAAATCAAAGTAACAGCAAAGACTAACACCCATTCCCCACCATTCAATGCTGAAGGGAGGAGGGGGGAAAAAGGAGCACACTAGAAATCCAGTTAAGAGCAGGACTTGATCCAGCTTTTGGTTCAGTTCTGCCAACCACATGAGCTACTGCAGCAGTAGCTTTATTTCCTCTCCCACTAAGGGAGGAAGAGAAGTACTGGAAGAAAATACACCCCCACCTACCTCCCAATGACTCCAAGCCCTTTTTTCTCCCCCAAAGCAGGGAATGACCCTGAGGAAAGTTTCTGCTTGGAGAATCAGTTCAGGTGCTGCAGCAGCAGCTGCAAGAAGGACCTTCAAAGGGAGCAACTTGCACAGTCTGCAGGGAAGGATGAGGTAATGGCAACTGAATTACTTGTTCTCCAGCTGCCACTCCAGGGAGGATGGGACATTCTCCAGCACTCCTCTTTTCATGATAAGTCCATCCTTTAAGTAACCTTGGGCAAGTCCCCCGTTGCTGTTGTCCATGCACAAGGTCTGAGCCACTTCAAACCTTTGGCTTTCGGACGAGCACCTTCTGCCGCCCTTTCTGTCACTCATGTCCACAGGCTGGGAGCTCAAGCAGCTTCAGCACTGCAGGAATGTCCCCAGCCAGTGCCTAGTGCAGTTCTTCTACATGTTCAGGTTCAAACACCTTCACCTGGGTTAAAGTTTGGGGCGGGCAAAATCACTGCAGGCGTGGGGTCTGAAGATGCCCCAGTGGCTCATTTGCTGCCAGCCTCATTCACCATCAGGAGGGGCAAGCAGAGCTCAGTCTTAGTGTTTCTAAGCAGGCTTTTGGAGGTATTCTGAGACAGGGAAGAAAACCACAAAACCAAAACAAAAATTCATACATGCTTCCCCAGAGACAAGGTATTTCAGGAGAGCTGCCCAGTTCCTGGGGCTTTTCACTCTCTCCCCGATGCACGTGGGAGGTCAGCATCTCAGTGAGTTGTTCTGGGAAACACATGCACAAACATACACACATGTGCTGTCCTGGTGGGGCATTTTGCTGGATGTCCAATTTTCCCAGCTTTCTGAGCAGGGCAGTCAGTGGGAGAAGCAGTTCCAGAAGTGCTGGTCCTTACCCAGGAGAGTCTCCTATAGCAATTCCACCCCTGGCAGACAGGCCAGGGTGGCTTCACAGCTTGCAGCCAAGTTCTAAGGCACCACAGTAAAGAAGCCTGAAAAGGCCAGAGAAACATTTCTCAAGCCAGAAAAATAGTGTTGAGCAGCTTTCCTAGGTGCAGTTGGCAGGAAACAGCCCTTTTTGCTTCTGAAACATGCCAGAAATCCACAGTGAATCAGGATGTCCAAGAGGAGGGGCACTGGGTGGGGAGAGAGAGGCAATGCAGCAAATGCACAGCGTGGTGCCCCGTTAATGCCCTGGAAGTGGCTGAAGTGCATCTCCCTCCCTGACACTCATCCCAGCTCCAATGGAAGTGATGCAGGCAGCAGGAAGAGCGGACTAGGTGGTGTTCTCAGGTAGCTTGTCCCGGTTCAGTCCATACTGCACACTCACATTGTGGTCCAGCTCCTCCAGCTCAGAGGGAAGGGGGATGGCAAGTTCTCCAAGGTAGAGAGAGAGAGCTTCAAAGGAATCTTCCAGCTTGGAAAAAGGGGGCCTAGAAGCAGCAGTGAGGAAATGTGAGTGGGGAAGAGGAAGAATAACAGCATCTGGAAAGGCTGAGCCCGTTGTCCTTCCAGACCACTCTGCCATGTACTAAGCTGTGTGCAGGGACATGATTCCCTCCCCATTCAGCTTCCAAGACTGCAAAGCCTCATTTTTACAGCCAGTGATCAGGCTCTGGCTCTTTGGAACCCACTTGGCATCAACACTGTTCTGAATCTACAAGTTTCACAACTGAAATCAATTGAAGTATTCACCCTGCTGCCAAGGCCTGCCCCTACTTTTGGTACCTGAGGAGCCCCAAACAGTCACTGCTCCTCCTCTGTGCTCTCTGTCTTGGAATTGTTTGAGAGATCTCCACCATATACAGTGGCCTGTCTGCCAAACTGATGAGTCTTAATTCTCTCCACACACAGACGCCTTTGAGCATTCCCAAGAAGGTTGGAACTGCCCTCTGTGCAGAGCAACCTTTCCACCATGGGGATACAGACACAGTCCTGCAGGCTTACAAGGAGGAGGAGCCCTCCAGACCCCAAACCTACCTGCTCTCTGGCTCCAGTCTGCAGCAAATAGCAGCCAGAGGGAAAAAGGCTGGAGGACAGTCAGCAGGAACAAACTTCTCCCAGAACAGCTTGACATTAAGGCCAAAATCCAGTGTGCGTGGGAGACAGTCTGGGTCAGCATAAACCTGGCCTATGATCTAGGGAAAAATGAGAGAAGCACTTCAGTACTGCAGCAGGTCCAGAGTGTTAACAGAGAACTTCAGCATCAAGCAGGGGCTCCTTCAAACTATTATGGTGGAAGGGAAAGAACAGAAACATTGTTCCTCCTTTCCAATGGAGCCGCTGGAGGCCCAGACGCCTTCTCCTTCTGCCCAGGGTCTCTGCCAGAAGACACAGGATGATGTGCCCCTCCAGGGCGTCTCACTGCTGGAGATGAAGCAGCCCCTCATGACTGCAGGTGATCAACAGACCCTGCACCACCATTCCACCCCCCAGAACTCACCACCTCCAGCACGAGGGCACTCACAGTGTACTAGAGGGAAGGAGCCCAGAGCAGAGCTCTGGAGTGATATGGACTCACAAGGTCAGTGTCAATACAAACTTTCACATGGACAGAGCATTAGGTTTAAAGCCTCATCTGCTATCACAAAAAGGGTGTTATTTATACCCACTCAGGCTTTTCTATGCCAATAACTCACAGCAGGGCAACCAC